CCATTACAACCTTTTGTTGTCTAATAAGATCATTCTTCCCCTAACCCCCCTGTAATCAGCCATGTCCCAAAAAACTCTCTTCCTCACTGTCCCCAGGATGGCTGAGTAATCCATGCAGGACAAAAACAGAATCTCATAAGGTGCTTAGAGACTGGAAGATGATCAAAGGCGGGAGGAGGGGACCAGACCCAATCTAAGCGATATCTTTCCTGGGGCTTTTGTGGCTCACAGGAGGTTTTGATACAAGAGGAAATATAATACAGTGGTTTAGCACACAGGAAGGAGAGTCAGATCAACCTAGGATCAAATCCCAATCTTGCCACTCACTCTCAATTCTTTCTGAGCCTTCACTCTCTAATCTACAGGATGGGGGCAATATCTAAACCATCCTTGTAGGTGGAGAAAGGATGAAGCTCCCAGCAGACAGGGAGCATTCCCCAAGTGTCTGCCCCCATGATAATCATCTCTGGGGTATCTCAGAGCAGCAGCCTTGCTGGAGCAAGATGAGGCAGACGCCCAGCCTGGCCTGTCCCCTCCCAAGCTGCTGGAAGAGGCTTCCCCAGCCAGCATGGCCAATAAGGTCCAAAGCTGTAGACCACAGAGCTGGCCCAGCCCACGTCCTTGCAGCAGACCACGGGCAGAGCGTAAAAAGGGGTACAGGGCCAGCCAGACATAAAGCAACACAACAGAAGAACCAGATTGTTTATCTTAAAGTCAAAAGTGTCCTCTAGGAAGGCGGCCTTTTATTTGGGTGATGCTAGGAGAGGCTGATCAGCTTAAACTCATTATCTGCACATATGGTTTTCATACCATGGTGAAGGGTGGGAAACAAAGGGTGGAAGGGAAAGGATGGGCAAATGCTAGCTGATGAAATACCATCCCCCAACTGCCAGGAACCAGGATATTATCAGTGATGTCAATTTGGGCTTCTTGCCATGGGGATGGGGCTACCATAAGCATGGTCACAAGATTCAGGAGTCCCTCAATGAGTCAGGGAAAGGAAGAAAACAACCAAACAGCAACTTATTCGCCCTTGCCTTCTACCCCAAAGACAGATTCTCTCTCTCTCTCTTTCTCTCTCTCTCTCTCTCTCTCTCTCTCTCTCACACACACACACACACACACACATGCACACACAATCTGGGCCCCAGAAAACTAGAAAGGACCCAAGTTAATCCCTCCCTTTTTACAATAATAGTAATAATGATAATCATGACAACGATGATAGTGAACATTTATTGAGCACTTACTATATGCCGGGCATTATGCTAAATGTTCTACCAGTTTTATCTCAAAGACTATCCACAACCATCCAATGGGTTCTTACTAGTTCCATTTTACAAACCAGGAAAAGGAGGCAGAAGGGGTTGAATGGTCTAAGGTCACACACCTAAATAAGAAGGATAAAGTCAGCATGCAAATCCAGGCAGTCTAACCACCATGCACTGCTGCCTCTAAAGAAATAGGAAACTGAGGCTCAGAGAGGGGCTGTGACTCACACAAGGCCACATGGCTCCATCTGTAACAGAATCAGGGCTGGAACACAGGTCTCCTAAGGTCTGGTTCAGCTACCTTTCCGCCCCATCCTGTTGCCCTTTGTACACACTTGCCCACGACTAGTGAACATGTTTTTGCTCATCTCCGAGTTGTTGAATTCACTAATTAAGCCAGCCGTCTCCGGTGCAGACCAGGGCCAAGGGCTGGATCTTAAGACAACAAGTGCCCAGATGAAAGACCAGCCCTGCCAGCTGCAAACACAGGCTCCCCATCTTCCTCTCCCACTCGTTATAAAAACTGTCTCACGATCCACCCCCACTCCCTCAGATGGAGTGCTCATGCAGGTCCAAGGTGCCAGCCCTGGTGGCAGGAGGAGCCCAGGCTAGTGCATTTGCTCCACGGCATCAGGTGGTGGAAATGCCTGATCAATGGGCGTCATCTGCTCCATGGGACCCGATCACTGGTTTCCAAGGCACCCTCCCTGTGCTGCACCCCAGCTGAGCATGAACAAATGTTCCTGATTTTCCCTCTCACTGGCTGATGAAATAGGCCAAAAGAGCAGCACTCTGGAAAGGGAGAGGTCCCTAAAACCTGCAACCCAGGAACAGAAAGGGCTCTTCCCAGGGAAAAGCAGGAAGCAAGCTTGCAGACTGATGGGGGGTGAGGGGAACTAGTTACAAATATTCTCCTTTCTACCCAAAACTGGGGGCACTTTGCCCTTCAGCTCTGATGACAGGAGCTGCTTCTGGATCTGCTGGGTTCACTCAATGAAGGATTTTGCTGTATACAGACAGGCAGGAAGAGGCAAGCCAGCCAGGAGAGGCGCCTTCCACTGAATGGAAGGCGGAGGGAATGGAGCAGGGCTGCCCAGCCCTGTATAAGGTTAGACTCTGCTGCTCTAAGTTGCAAGATTGCTCAGAATCTCCTCAGCCAACATATTCATTTTACAGACCGAGGAAGCAGGCTCCGGAGGGGAAATCACTTCCCCAAGGCCACATGGATGACTCAGAAAAGCTAGATTTCAAATCTGCTGTTTTCCTGCTTCCTGGCACCCCCTCCCACAAATCCTTGAATTAATCCCTTGTCCCTATCCAGCACCCTGTCCTCCAATGCACCCCTCAGACCATTAAAATCTCATTTTCTAAAGAGCAGAGGGTTCCTTCCGGGACTCAGCCCAAGGTGTCCTAAACCCGCTAACTTTCGCTTCTAGAAAGCTTCCTGGAGCCTTCAATGATAGGCTGCCATTTCAGCCTGGGGCTGGGTAAATGCATCACATACACTGGCCGCTTGAATGGGTTTGGGGACAAGGGAGACAAGGAAACAGAGTGCCCAAGACTTGACATGTTTACATCAGAGATCTTGGGAGTTCACCTGGGAGAAGACTCAGTCGATACTTTAAGCCCCAACACGAACTTTAGTAGTCCTCGGGGAGCCTCGATTCCCCTGCAATTCAGGAAAAGTGGGGTGGGGGTCGGGAGAAGAGGGAAGGGACAGAACTTGGGAAACCCCAGCCTTCTGGGGGCCCCATGCTCCCAGGCAGGTTCCAAGGCAGGGCTGGTCCCGCAGCTTCCCTCCACAGAAAAGGCAAAACACAACAAAAAAACTTCTTTTGTCTTCCAGCCCCCTGGAATGTCTTAAAGACCTATCCAGAGACAGCCGGCTTCTCCACCCTTTCCCTGCTCTCCTCCCTCCTCCTCCTCTTCTATTCAAAACAAAAATCAAGCGGATCTTTTTTAGGGCAACTTTGTCCTGGCGCATTTCAGTAGCATCCAACAAAAACACGTGGCGGACTACACCGAACAGAGGAACTTCATCTCTTTTCCCCCACCTTTGTAAGGGACGTTAAAGACACGGGAGCCCAAGGAGCACAGGTCACCAGCCACGGGAAAGAAGAAAACTTCTGCCAACCACAGTGAGGCCACGGCGGCTCCAGGATTTGCTCATTTACACTCACTTGGGGTGAGGGGAGGAGGGAAGGAACTGGAGAGAAAGATGAGGCCATAGCCCCTCCAGTGTCCCTTCAATGTTAGCCCTGCACACGACAAAGATGACACTCCTCACAGATGCCAGCAGCCGTCGACTTCCCAAGGCACAGACACACAGACTCAACATACAGGGACTCTGAGGCCAGACAACTGGGACCCGGGGCAGGTTTCCACCGTAACTGTCAAATGACAAGAATGCGGCCTAGAGACCCAGACCCAGGGGGTGAGGGTGGGGGCCAGGGCTCGTTGACTGCTGAGAAATGAACACTTGTGCCTGGACTGCTAAAGTCTTTAAGGCCCCATCCCCCACCTCCCACCCCGTGCCTCCCAGTTTACTTGGGCCCAGAGAGAGGATACCCCAAGACCCCCATCCTGCCTTCACGAGACATTCGGCCAGATCCAAGGAACAGAGGTGCAACTTTTGCAAAAAGGGTGCAAGCATTTTGGGGTTTGGGTTTCTGCAACCCCAAAAAACTTCAAAAACTTAATTCCCCAACGCACTCTCTCCGCAGCGATCCGCAGTCGCCGTTTCTCACGTCTTTCCCCGGGGGTAAATGTCTCACTCATCCACGTGCCCTGCCAGCCTCCCCAAGAAAACTCACACCCCGACTCCCAGCCCTTCCAGCCCACGGCGCAGGTAGAACTGGGCACCCTTCGCCTCACCCTCGGTCCCGCTGCCCCGTCGGGCCGGTGCAGGGCGGGCTCCTGGGGCGGCCCCGCGTCCCGGAGGCGGGCGCAGTTTCCTCACAGGAGCCAGGGCGCGCTTCCTGCGGGCGAGGGCCGGGGCAGGGCGCCCCCTGGCGGGAGCCCACTCACCTCGCTCCAGCAGGACCCGGAGCCGGCGCGATCCCACCCGAGCCGAGCACCCTCCCAACCGGCTCCCACTGCCCCCTAAATCCGGAGGTGCCGGAGCCTCCCACCCACCCCGCTCCCCACGGGGTCTCCGCTTCCCCAAACCGCACACGCCTATGGAATAAGGGGCGTCCTGGAGGAACGCGTGGCGCCACCGCCCCGCCCCGCGGCCAGGGACCCCAAAGGCGGCCCGCCCTCCTGGGTTGCTGCCCGTCCCCGCAGCCCTCCCGGCCCGGATCGCCGCTCCGGGGTCCCTGGTCCCTCCCTGCCCTGCTACCGGGTGGCGGGGCGCGCAGCCCCTTTCCGGGCGCAGCCCTGGCCGAAACCCCGAACCTCGCAACCACACCTGCCACCCCGCGCCGTTCTCCAGAAGCCCCCACTCCCCCGCCCGGAGCGTGGGGCGCCCACCGGCTCTGCACCTGTCCTGGGCGCAGCCCCGGGCCCCGGGCAGGCACCGGGCGAGCCCGCCCCCGGCCCCCCCAGCCCCCGCGTGCTAGTTTGAGTGGAACTTGGTTGCTGGGCTTCCCGGGACCGTCCTGGGCCCCCGCGCCACCCCACTCTCCCGCCGCGTCCAGCAGCACCCCCGGGCCGGCGCGCGGGGGGTCCCCAGGTCCCCGGGGGCGCGGCGGCGGCGTGGGGAGGGCGCAGAGGTGCGGAGCCCCCTACCTTCCAGCGGCGGCGGCCGGACCCCGAGCCAACTCCCGCCGGCTGCCGGGGGGAAACTTTCCCGGGCGGAGGGACGCGCTCGCAACTTGCCCGGCGCCGGGTGCCTTCCCGGCGGTGGCGACGCGTCCGGGGACCCGCGGTGCGAGGCAGCGGCTTTCGCTCGGGGCTCTGGGCCGGGGCCGGGGCCGGGGCCGGGGCCGGGGCTCGGGCGGCCTCGCGCGGCTCCGCGGTGGATCGCTCTGCGCTGCGTCCGCCCCGCAGCCTGGAGCCCCGCGACGCCGGCGGCAGCTGCACGCCCGCCAGCCCGCCCGCCCCACCTCCGCCGCCGTCCGTCCCTCCCCTCCCCCGCGCCCCCTCCCCCTCCCCAAACCTCGGCCCCTCCCCGCTCCCGCCGCCGCCGCCGCCGCAAAGACTCCAGCCTCCTGCGCGGGCTGCCCCTCGCCTCCCGCCGGCCTCGGCCTCCGCGTCCACGCCCTGTCTGGGGGGTCCCTGGGCCCGCCCTCTGCCAGTCTCCCCTTCCTCCGCCCCCGACCACCTCCCGCTCTGCTCGCCGGCCCTCGCTGCGTCTGAATTCGGAAGATCGTGGCGGGAGTGGGGAGGGGCACGCTGGACCCGGAGTGTTTATTCCCGGGGAACTTTCAGCTGCCCCCGGGCCCGACCGCTGGGCTTGGGGTAGGATCCTCGGGCCGGACCTCGTTCCTGGGGTTCACGTTGCCCCAGGGAGTACCCTTTGAAAGCCTGGGGAACTCACCCTCCTTTGACTTGCAGATAAGAGAGGGGGCCTGAACGCAGCTCAGATGCAAATGACTTGATTGCTAGGGGCCAGATCTGTGTCTCCAACCTCAGAGCTGAAGTTATTGGGGTTCTGGAGAGCTTGTCTTTTCTTCTCTGTACTGCTGTCACAGCCGCACCCCCTCCCAGACCCTGACCTGACTTCACTGAGACTTTTAACCTCTGAACTTCCGTTAAAACAGCTACCCGGCCCTGCCCCAGGCAAAACGGACAATCCAGCAGATCACAGCCGGCAGCCCAGGTGAAAGCGCTCGGTGACTGCCTTGACGACCGGGGCTCGGGCTGCCCACTCCTCTTCCCGTGGGAACTCTGTTTTGAGTCCCAGCTTGAAGCTTCCACACTCCATCCCCGTGGGCCGTAGAATTCAAGCACACTCCAGCTCTGCACCAGGCCCTTGGCCAACTGATTCTCACTAAGGAGGGACTGAAGGGAAGGAGCTGACCCTGCTCCTGTCTTGTGTATAAATGTTGGTGGTCGCCGGGCGCGGTGGCTCAAGCCTGTAATCCCAGCACTTTGGGAGGCCAAGGCGGGTGGATCACGAGGTCAAGAGATCGAGACCATCCTAGTCAACACGGTGAAACCCCGTCTCTACTAAAAATACAAAAAATTAGCTGGGCATGGTGGCGCGTGCCTGTAATCCCAGCTACTCAGGAGGCTGAGGCAGGAGAATTGCCTGAACCCAGGAGGCAGAGGTTGCGGTGAGCCAAGATCTGCACTCCAGCCTGGGTAACAAGAGCGAAACTCCGTCCCAAAAAAAAAAAAAAAATGTTGGTGGTCAGGCCACAGGGCAGTTTGGGGCGTGTTTTTTTGTTTTATTTTGTTTTTGAGACAAGGCCTCTCTCTGTTGCCCAGGCTGGAGTACAGGGGGGCAAGCACGGCTCCCTGTAGCCTCCACCTCCTCGGCTGAAGCAATCCAATCCTCCCACCTCAGCCTCCCTAGTAGCTGGGACCACAGGCATGTGCCATCATGCCTGGCTAATGTTTTCTGTTGTTTTTGTGTTTGTGTTCTTGTAGAGCTGGGGTCTTATCATGTTCCCCAGGCTGGTCTCCAACTCCTGGCCTCAAGTGATCCTCCCACCTCAGCCTCCCAAACTGCTGGGATGACAGGCGTAGCCACTTCACCCAGCCACCAGCCAGAGTTTTGAGAAGCAGAAGTGGCTGCCTTTCCTTGCCCACATTCCAGGAAACGGATACGTCCCTGTAAGGACTTTAGGGATGTCTGGTCCTTTCAAGAACTTCACAGAGTTGCCAGGACTCAGAGTAGGCAGGTCGCTGGAAGAAAAAGTCCTGGATCCATGGTTTTAAAGGGACCTATGGGGAGGAAATCTCTAATGGTGGAATTTCTGTAAGAGGAGGACCAGGGGAAGGCCTCCATGTTCACCCTTCAGCTGCCAAAACAGAATGGAGGGTGGAGGCTGACCTCCTCTCATTGAGAACCACACAGACCCTGCACTTGGGGATGCTCCCGGGAGAGGCCCTGTGTCGGCCTCCTTGGACACCAGGCCCACATACCTTTAAAGAAGAAAAACGGGAAGCCCACAGCAAGGGTGCTGGAGCTTGGGAAGTGGAGACCAGAGACAGCCAGAGGAAGGGATAGAGCCTCTAAGGGTCTGGGGTTTGGCAGAAGTGGGCAGAGCGTAGGGGAAGAGCGGGCAGATCCTCTGCACCACTCAGACAACCAGCTGGGTCTGTAACTCTGGCTCCAAGTCAGTTTCCCGGAACTCCCCCTCTTTCCAGCCTCGGTGGAGAACCTGGCCCTATCTGTGCACCAGCTAAGGACATCTGAATAGCCTTCTCTAAATCAACTCTTATGTTGTCATTTTTTGATTTACTTAAGTGAGCTTGTTTTTAAAAAGATCTGTTAAATTGCTACCATAAATGGAAGGTCAGCATCACATTACTGTAAATAGAAGGTAACAATTAAAATAAATACAATGAAAATAAAAGTGTTATTAAATTCTAACAATGTATCTTTAACCACAATAATAATAATACAGCCTAACAAGATACTGTTGCCTGAGGAAGGTGCTGAGGCCCAGGCCCCACTTTCTCTTTGAAAGGGAGATTATAGCAAAGGCTAGAAAGCTGTTAAAGACACATCAGCAACAAACTCTTCATCAAGAGAGTTCAAAGAGAACTGGGAAGGGACCCCCTCCAACCCACTGCCCACCAGGTCAATTAGGGTATTGGAGGCCGTTGGATTACCTCCAGTGACTTTCATCTCCTTGAACATCTCTGATGTCCTCTCAATTGGGAAAAATAAATATGGGTGCAAAAGTAATTGTGGGCCGGGCATGGTGGCTCATGCCTGTAATCCAGCACTTTGGGAGGCTGAGGTGAGTGGATCACAAGGTCATGAGATCAAGACCATCCTGGCCAACATGGTGAAACCCCATCTCTACTAAAAATATAAAAATTAGCTGGGCATGGTGGCGCTTGCCTGTATTCAGCTATTCAGGAGGCTGAGGCAGGAGAACCGCTTGAACCTGGGAGGCAGAGATTGCAGTGAGCCGAGATTGTGCCACTGCACTCCAGCCTGATGACAGAGTGAGACTTTGTCTAAAAAAAAAAAAAAAGTAATTGTGGTTTTTGCCATTGAATGTAATAGCAATACCACAATTACTTTTGTACCAACCTAATATATTAAGACAAAAAATTGCTTTTCCTTTAAAGTTAGGCGCTCCAAGAATTTAGTCCTGGACAAGATAAGGCTGATCGGGGTTGTAGGAAGAGCTCACCTCCCTTTCACAAGTAATCTTGGGAACACCCTCCCTTCTCTGGCCTCAGGGCTTCCATCTGTGAAATGGAGGCTTGGGCAAATGGCCCATAGATCTCTTCTGCTGTCTGATGAAAGCAAGTAAGGCACCAAGGTTGTGGCTTACCAGGAACCTCAGAAAGTAAAGGCTCCACCATGGAGTGGGGGCTAGAGAGGGGAGAAGCTGGGAAGGAACCACGGAGCAGGCAGTGGGGCTGTGGATGGACCGCCAGTCCTCAGGAGGGAGAAGGAGCGGGGAAGGCCAGAGCCGACCCACTGGAGTCTAGGTTGGCAGAAACCCAGAAGTGGCCTGGCCTGAAAGTTCTGGAAAGATTCGGGAAGGAAGCTTATGGAGAATTCTCTGTAATTCAACCACTTCATTTTGCCAATGGGGAAACTGAGGAAGAAACAAAGACTAGATTTTCATCATGGTTAAGAGCTGGGCGTTGGACCCAGACCTCCCGACTCCCAGGCCAGGATGCTTTCGATATCTCTGGAATTTGGGCATCTAGTAGAAGTGGTTCTTCTGAAAATACTCACCTTTCCCCTAAGAAGCTCTTAGACTTCGCTTTCTCCAACATCTGGAGAAAAATGTTGAATTGGCCTAAAAGCCCCAAATTCACCAAAGTGTGTCTAGTGCTGCACCACCCAGGTTCTACACCCCAATCACTATACACAGGACACCTAGGGTGAGCATTTGCACAGCATCCTGGGAGCACTAATGCCCAGCAAAGATCCCTGAACCCGGAGTCCACGGGCCCACACCCAACTGGGCGATTCCTTCCCCTCTCTGGGCCTCAGTGTTCCCACCTGGGAAATGGGGCATCTGGATCAGCAGTTTCAAGTTGGGCTGGTAGGCCCTGCTTCTAGGTATTTTAAGAATGAGAATGCATCCTGGTCAACATGGTGAAACCCCGTCTCTACTAAAA